AGTGACCAGGAACAACGGTCACAAGCTGGCGGAGGGAAGGTTTAAGTTGGACATCAGGAGGCGCTACTTCACGGTCAGGGCGGCTAGGGTCTGGAACCAGCTTCCAAGTGAGGTGGTGCAGGCTCCCACCCTGGGGGTTTTTAAGAGAAGGTTGGATGACCACCTTACTGGGGTCATTTGACCCCAGCGCTCTTCCTGCCATGGCAGGGGGTCGGACTAGATGATCTGCTCAGGTCCCTTCCGACCCTAGAAACTATGAAACTATGTGGCCAAATGAAGTAACAGACAGTTAAGAATATTCTGAAACCTTCCTTATTTTGCTTAAAAATACCATCTTAGATACCACATTTCAAGTTTTGGTATTCTTTTCAAGCAACAGCATCTTACAACTGTGTTTGGTATGTCCCAAAAACTGAAACTTAATTTGACAACATAAACATGATGAAGCTTTGGGGAAAAAAATGTGTGAAAAGTAATGAGAGGTGACAAAACTGCCCAACGGTAATGTTGATTTATTTAGCAGAACTACAGTTTTCTGGTGTTATGAGCAATATTTGCATCACTACTCATAATAAAAGTATAGCTCCTTTACAGTTTTGCTGTTTAACACTTTTTCCTGGTGCTTCTGTGTCTTGAAAGTGACTTGTTCCTTTGCTCCCCGTCACTGTTACTATAGAGATCTCCTCCCTTACCACTTCTATAGGACATGGACTTCCTTCCTCCAGTTGCTCTATTTTGGGCCTTGAGCTCTGTTTCTCAGAAGACTTTCCTCTTAAAGGAGTTTAGTTTTCTTAGTTTGGTTTGTTTTTTTTTTTACTTCTCTGGGCTGCTGCTCTCCTGCCTATAGCTATATCCTCTTTCAGCCTTAATAGTCGGCTGTCTTGCCTGTCATTTCACAAGTGGCAGCCCAGCTTGCTTGGGCACCCCTCTTCCTTCCCCAGTGAACAGAGAGAGATGGTTAACTGTGTTGGTCTGAAGTCAGGTAGAAGATAGCTCAGGGTGGCACCCTTGAGACTAACTGGTTCAGATATTACACATCTGATGAAGTAGGCTGTTGCCTATGAAAGCTTACACCTCCTTGAACCAGTTAGTCTCTGGTACCATTCTGCCCTCCCTTCCCTAAAGAAGAGTTTAATTCACCCACTCCCTTCTTTCCCTCTCCTTTCTCTCTTTTCGTCAGGAAAGACCCAGACAGTTTTAACACTAGATTGTGTCACTGGTGCCCAGCAGGATGAAGGAACATAGAATAGCATGGGTGGCAGTAACTGAAGACACTACTTCATTATTAATAAAGCATCTGGGATCTACTGAGCTGTACAGCATTAGCTTTTGAAGTGCCTTCAAGGCCACAAATGAGGATGTTTGCCACTTCATTACATTTCCTTGTACTACAGTATACTCTTTAAGATAAACAACAGAAATGATGCATCACCATTTATAATTACACGACAGTTAATGATTCTGAAATCAGCAAATCTAACTATTGCATAAACCATACATTCATCCTTCACTAATATACTGTATGAAAATATTCTGGATCCTTCTCCTTAAACATACGCTTATAAGTGAAGAAGTTTTAAAGGAGGGCTTCCACGTAAGACATAATGTAGCCAAATAGAAAGTATGTGGTACAAAGAAAGAACTGGACTATAGTTCAACCCAGAGACTTGAACTGGGATCTGGTTTCTATTCTTGTGTCTGCATCAATATTCCTTCACAGTCTTGGGAAAGTCATATGCTCTGTGCTTCCATTTTCATGTATATGACTCAAAAGGATGTTTTGAGTGTTAAGATACTAATATCTTGTGTTTCCTGGCATAAATTAAACTTAAAATCAGAACCAGAACAAAATGTTGATGCTTTGCATGGTGATTTATTTAAAAGAAGTAAGAAAAAGGGCCCTGATGGATTCACCTGAATGCTCACCCTAGGGGGTATTCTAAGAAAGCCTGGTAAACAGACAATATCATGACACAGATAAGCACACCATTTTGTAAATGTGCTAGTCTATGTGAAAACTTAAATAAAAGCAGGTACATTTCTAGCAGTACTTAAAGCATTGCTAGAGAATTATTTATGAAAAATTATTGTTTTGCCTTGTAAATCTCTGTGCAACTGTTAAAGGTTTTATTTGTCACTTGGCCAGTGCCGTAGCAAGGAAATTTGGCACCCAGGGCAAGCCTGCATTGGCAGCATGCCTTTGCCCTGCACACAGATCCAGGGGACACATGCCCCCCATGCCTGTCCAGGGGTGCACGCAGCGGTGGGAGCTGTCCCCCTCCATCCCTGCGCTACCATCCCCCCCAAATGAGCCATTAACTGCGCTGTCCTGTGCCCTACCCCGGCTGGGCAACTCCTGTATCATAGTTTCATATATGTTAGGGACTGGAAGGGACCTTACAGATCATTGGGTCCAGCCCCCCCTGCACTTGGGCAGGAAAGACCGCTAGGGTCAGATGACCCCAGCAAGATGGGTATCAAGGCACTTTTTGAAGATCACTAGGGTGGGTGATTGTACCACCTCTGGGGGGCGCCTGTTACAAACCCTTAGCACTTGACTTTTAAAAAGTTTTTCCTTATGTCTAGTCTGAAGCAATCTTCAATCAGCTTGTGGCCATTATTTCTATTCCTCCCCTGGGAGCCTTGGTGAATAGTGTCTCCCCCAGGCTCTGACGTACTCCCCTGATATACTTACATGTTGCCATCAAGTCCCCTCTGAGTCTTTTCTTCTCCAGGCTAAACAGTCCTAAGTCTTTCAGCCTCTCCTCATACGACCTGGTCTCTAAGCCTCAAATCATGTGCATGGCCCTCCTTTGGAGTCTCTTAAGTTTTTCCACATCTTTCCTGAAGTGTGGCACCCAGAACTGGATGCAGTACTCCAGCTGCAGTCTCAACACAGCAGAGTAGAGTGGGAGGATGACATCTTGAACCCTGTTCGAGATGCCTCAGTAGATGCATGCCAATGTTTGATTAGCTTTGCCAGCTATGGAATCACATAGATGGCTCATGTTCATTTTGCTGTCTATCACAACACCCAGGTCTCAGTCAGTTGTGGTGCTGGCAAGCGTAGCACTGCGAAGTCTATAAGTATGTTGTGGATTATTTCTCCCTAGATAGAGCACTTTGCATTTCTATTTATTAAACAACATCAGGTTGAGGTCTGCCCACCTTGCAAGCCTGTCCAGGTTAGCCTATAATGCCAGCCTGTCCTGGAGCATGACCACGCTCCCTCATAGCTTGGTGTTGGCGCCTAGGGTGGATACCCTGCTTGCCTCTCCCTTGCTATGGTACTCCACTTGACACTGCAAAGGTACCATCTCTCAGAAACGAGGCTTGTACATTTTCACAACCTTGCACCCACAAATGTATCCTGTATTACAAGTACACAAAAACGCTGCTTTCAATTTTGAAAGCAAACAGTTTCTGTACTAAATAACTTTTCTGAGC